GAAAAGCGGGGACTGTATTTGTGTTGTGATTTGAAATTTCCTACCCTGAAGCAATTCAGTTTATTGCTACAATCTGGTCACTCACAATATATTACCACTCGGCTACCCAGTCAAAGCTTTGCCAGGATGAACAGACATGTTCTCCCTTTTGCCCCGCACTTACTCTCCCATCTCCCTGCTGTTAGTTACATCAAGTGTTGCAGATAGATCATTTTTTCCCTTCATTATGTGGAGTCCTAAACAAAGACAGAACTTTGCTCCTGCCCAACTGTGGAAGTTTTACAGCTGTGATGAAAAATTGAATAGCTGCTGAGGTGAGAGAAGTCTTCCATTGAGATTTACAAGGAGAGAGGCAAAGCAACTGTCTTGCTGGGATGCCCCATTCCAGCATCAAACTCAGTTACTTGCAGCATTAATTCATTCATATATCAAAACAAGGTATTTCATGTGCATCAACTAATCATAAGAGAAAAATCACCAGCTTGGTAGTCCATTGCTATGCAGATAATAAACTGAGCTGTTTACAAAGCAGGAATTCAGCAAGGAGGAAAGAAAAATATTAATAATGGGACAAGTTATTTTAGGTTACTTAATTCATTAATTAGATTGTAAGCACTTTGGGGCAAGGACTGTCTTTTTGTTCTATGTTGTACAGTGCATAGCAGAATGGGATCTGGGCCACGACTGGAGCTTTGACATACCACCACAATAACTCATCCCTAGCACAGTTACATCAGGGATGCATTTATTGGTAAAGTTTGACTTGGTAGAGCTTTTACATGAAAGTTTAGGGCCATATCCTCAGCAGGCGTAAGTGGCTGCGGCATCACTGAAACCGATTTATACCAGCTGAGGATCTGGCAAATGGTTTAGAGCATTATCAAGTAAATAGTCCCAACTCTTAAATAATATAACAACATTTATCCAGTACAACAAATGCTGCTTTTATTAATTGATTTTCTAAAAAGAAAAAAGAAAAAAAAATGAGGCCACCGCTTGTATAATGGAATCTATGCTTCTGATACAGTATTATAATAATAGTTCTGCTGGACATATCAAATAGATGCATTGTACCCCTCCCCCCATTCATTATAACCTAATATTTTGCTTTTCTTCATAGCTTTTTCTTTTATAGTTCCCCTTGCCTTTTCCCATTGGTGCAAAAGGATATGGATTCTTTGGGAAATTTCCAACAGAGTCCTCATATGTGTTATGTGTAGACCTAGCTCTTCCTTTAGCCATTCACAACATAAATTCAGGTCAGTGAAAGGAATAAAATATGGTCTGAACATTGTAGTTACTATACTGCCCCAGGAATGTAGTCTCCTTTAAAAGAAAAGTTCCATTTGTTATTATGTCACCAACTTCTAACCTCTGTCAGAGTGGAGGTGCACCTAATTTTGAACAGGCTTTGAGAAGAAATTTGTGCTTAAACTAGTTCATACAGCAGCTATAACTAAAATCCCTGTTAATTGGCCAACAAAGTGGCCTTCTGAATTTCATTATTAGCACTTACTTATCACATTTTCTTTTCAGAGCCAGCAGTGAATACAGATTCATAAGAAGCAGTGCTTTCAAGCTCAACATTAAGGGCTTGTCTATATGACCACTGAGCTTGTGGCAAGCCTGGGTTGGGGCAATCCTTACTTCCCACTAAGCCTCTGCTGCTGCTCACTAAAAGTTCCATAGTGCACTTTGAGCTAACCTGCTTTGATCTTCTACTAGTTTAAATCAGCCTGGGTCTAATGTAATCAATGGAGCTATGCTGATTTATACCAGTTGAGGATCATGTCCTGAGTATTTTATTCTACCAGCAGACTAAGCAAAGGTGGGTTATTCTTGCTCTGCTTAGGCTTCACAAACAGTGCAGTAATGCCAGGTTATAAAAGCAAGGCAGAATGTTGGGAATTTCACTTTGCAAGACAAATATTGCACACAAGTAATTATAACTCAGCATTAAAAAGGTCCTATCAAGTTTTAACTCTGAAATCAAAAAGCACAATTAATATTGTTTCGTTGCGACAGGAAAACATGACACATTATTCAGAAATAACAGCAATGCATTCTCCAGAGCTAGTGGACTGCAAGCAAATCTAAGAAACTGAGTCACAGTTTTGTATGAAAATAAAGTATTGTTTCTAAACTAATGGATTAACAGAACGAGAAACACTACAAGTGCTGTGCCACAGATGTCACATTACCAGAAATTCATCAATAAAAGAGCACAATCAAAGAAGGTATAGGCACTCAATTTCACTTACACCCAGCTTTGCAATGTAAACATCTTGGAGAACCTGGAACACTTGGGCCCCTAGATTATCCCCGTTTTTAAGTAGAACCATTACACTCTGGTACACTCCTTGGGGAGTTCTGTTTAAAACTAAGGGCACAATATGGCCCTCATAGTTTACAGAAACTTATGCAACTTGTTCCCTCTTCGTGTCTGCAAAATATTTAAAATGAAGGGCTAGATCCACTGCTGGTATAGCTAGGCATACCTCCATTACTTCACTGATTTACACCAGTTGAGGATCTGGCCTGAAATCTTCACTTATACTTTAATTCATCTATGAATAACTCTCTCTGAGGGCATATAAATGCATGAGTTTATGGTGTATGCATACAAAGTCAACATGTATAAAAATGCTTTGAACAGGCAACATTAAAATAGAAATCTAAAACAGAAGACAGCAACATGGAAGTAATACATTCTGAATTTACTTTGAAAATTGAAATGTATTGGGAAAGTAATATTTTTTATTCTCCCGAGAGTACCTCTTGATTTATTTAAATAACCTGAAACTGAAGCATCAACACATGAGAGATCTAAAAGGCTTCTGTCATGATTGATAGGTTCAGGATATAACTATCTAAGTTTTTAATAAACTAAGCTTTTCTAAAGAGTGGGAGACTCATTGTGAATTGCTAATTTCATAGTCTAGCCCTTGATGTAACAAAGCACATGCTTAACATTAAGCAGAGACTAGTCCCATTGAAGTCAATAGCAATGTTGAGCATGTGCTTCACGTTCAGCATGTGCTTAAACCCATCTTTAATCAGCAAAGCACTTAAGCATGTCACTAAAGCATCAGCTTCAATGACACCAAAGCACATGCGTAAAATTAAGCACATATTTAAGTACTTGCTAAATAAGGATCATCATGGGCTTGATCCTGTACTCTGTATGCCATCTTGCCAAGCATTTAAGCAAGTATTCAACTTTAAGCCTTGAGTAATCCTGTTGACATTAATGGGACTACTCACATGCACAAAGTTAAGCACACACTTAAGTGATTTGTAGCACCTTGCAGGATCAAGCCCAAAGAAAGCAAACACATAATAAAAAATATTAAAGCTAATGGAGCCCAAAATGTACTTTGTTCATTCATTTCATAAATGTAGTTTAATTTAAACTGTTTATGATGATGCTTTAAAACATACTAATAAAAGTTACATAATTTGTTTTCAGAAAGTAATGAAGTCTCAGTAAAATGAGATTTCACTATGATCTTTACTGCAAAGAAGTGTGTATTGCCTTTTTTGTGTGTACAAGGGATGCAGATTAGAAAGATTCTTCTGTTCTTGTTTGCTAATAGCACTGACTCAGGTCCACGTTTTGGCCCATATCCACAGATGCATTATGGTTGCACTATGATACTGCAGCACCAGTTCAACATGACCCTAAAGTCTCTTATAGCCAGCTAAGGAAAGATCATAGTGGGGGATCCTCTTGTGCCATGAAGCATAGTAGGCTCCTACATCACCCCTAATACTTGGAGGCCTGGCCATGGGGAGAGTGGTCATGGCTGGGGTGCCCCGACAGGCAGCTGATACTCAAATATTGTATGGGATCATTGGCAGGCATTGCAAATGAGAGGAGTCTTCAGGGCTGAGAGACCATCTCTGTACACACACAGCCCAGGATCAGGGGAGACCTAAGGTGGCTTCTTCTGGATCACACTCGTTGGTCCTCAGAAGCCACTGAAGATCTGGGCTTTAATGTGAATTAGGGAAGAGAGGACAGTGAGGGACACTTTCAAAACAGATGCTTCAATGCTTTTCTCTTGTTAAATCATATATACATATGCACAGCATTCCAGCATGACCAGTCTTAAAAACATTGTACACATGGCAGATGAACAATAATTTCAGTAAAAAATATTAAATTTGGCTGCAAATGTTCATAACTTGTTACAAATATTGAGGAAAATAATTTTGGGGGTGCTCTGGTGTACAATCTAAATGGACCAAATTTATCACTGGTGAAAATCCAGTGACAAACATTATTATTGTTTATTTTTAATTAGTTTGAAGCAGGAAGTACAACTTGGCCAGATTGCAGAATGGTATTGTCTACATCAGGAGCCAGCTTGACTGGAGATGCTGGAATTAATCACCACTGGAATACTTCTATTAGCAAATTGTCAACGTTCCTTAGGTAAAAGGTAGAGTTGTAAGTACGCTTTTTCCCATGGGTAGTTTTCCTATCACTGTTTGATTCAGTTTTAGTGTTTCTCCTCTGTTTAATCATTTAATGCAGGGCTTTCCTAAAGAAAACAATTCTTGGAAAGTTATCACCCCATAACTAGTTGAGTAACTATTCAAGCCAGTATACCAGACAATAAATTGAACCTTTTATTTCTCCAAAAGCATAACCCACATTGTCTGCTTCCTTTTGGAGATATGTATGCATTTTTACTTTTGTTCAGTCATTTTTTTTGTCCTTAATGTAGGCAGTGATTTTTGCTGCACCCACTGATATTGCATTTTCCAAATGATCATGTTCTAATAAAGTAAACAAATCCAGTTATAAATGGAAATAGCAACCTTGCTATTGTGACACGTTTGAGAGGTTATGAAATTATTCAAATTCTGAAAGCCAATGTTTGCCCAGGAATATCAGAAAGGAAGGAAAAAACCTCCTAGTTACCTGAGCATTTGAGTCACTATTTGGGAAGGAAACAATGGTTTTGAAATTTTCATGTTAAACTGAACTGGTAATGTTCTCAGACAAGACCTCAAGCTAGCTACATGTGTTACTCCATCTTTTTCCGTTGATTGAGTTTCACAGCAAAAAAAAAATGAGGCATTTGATAGCCGATTATGGACATAACCATTAAATGCTTCTTTAAAAAAAAATCAATGGAAAAAAACAGAAGCTGTGCTTATAGTCGTGAATTTAGCCTCATTCAGAGATATGACTTTAACAGAGAATGCTGCCTCCATTATACAGTAGTCCTTGAAACATAAAAGAAAGAAATCATAGCATAGGGCTATAGTCACTGTAACATGATCATTGCCTCACTATCAAATAAAGCTTTGCCTTGTTTTATTCCTTTAAGTCATTGGTTCCATTCCACTTTAATTTGTGCACACAAGAAACAAGAAAGATCTGATCGCAGGTTTTGCTTAATAGCCTTATCCATAATAACCTTATTTATCAAATATTTATATATATATATATAATATATACATAAATCAAATGTATATATTATATATATATTCATATATAACAAACACATAAGGGTAAATTAAAAAAGCCACACAGCACAGTACGCACATAAAACACAATTCAGTAAACCTGTGCTTCAACTTAGAAACTGTGTGGAAATTTAATCCCTGTTAGAAGGAAAGAGTTCAGTTGTTTTGTTTATTGTTTGCTTGTTTATAGTTATAATTCAGGTTTAAAACATATATTACTGCTTTGCTAATATCTGCTGTTAGATTTTCAAGCGAACTGCCACCATGACTATGAAATAGGGTACCGAGAAGAAGAGAGTGCTGAGGAGAGTAAACTTTTACAGCGACAAATGGATAACTTTACTGCTTTAAAACAAAAATAGTAAAACAAAAATAGAACAAATAAGGAATAAAGGTTGAAATCCATGATTTTTTGTTTAACTGCCCTCAGTCCCAGTAACAGGTCTTCTTTGGCACTTGAGAACGATCACAAGTAGTTTGCCTTTTTATTCATATAGAACAAAATTTACAAAGTCATTCATACATTTTTTTGTTTTTGTTTTTTGTTTTTGTTTTGTTTTTTACTGACTTCGAAAATTGGGAATATTCAAAATACACTTTTACCCCACTTCATTCTTTCATTATTTACAGATATGTACACGAAAAATGTAAAAGTTTTTGTTTTTGTTTCAGATTGTATTAAAAAGCTCTGCTGGTTGTTTTGTTTGTTTGTTTTCATTATATGGATGTTCCATGGGAAGGCTCCATGGCTTCTGGAATGACTCCCCCTGGCACAGACTGAAATGACATCGGGATAGGTGTTTTCACGGGGCTCTGACGAAACAGTCCTCCATTTGGCGATCTGTGTTTACACTGTATAGAGGGCATGGTGGCTGAGCTGCTAAGGGGCAATGGCAGGTTACTACCAGAGGCAGTTGTGAGTGTCCTGCTGGCACCATGACTTGTCTGTTCTGGTAAAAAGGTGGTGACAGAAAGTTGTGTGTTCTGGTATTCGCGTACTGGCTCCAGGGTCTGACTTGGCTGCATGCCACCAATCTCCAAGGCTGAGATTTCAATCGACGCTGGAGAGATTTGCTTGTGGGCTATGTCTTCATCAATTAAACTGTTCATACGTCTGTGGACCTGCTCCAGATTTACTTCTTTATCCTATTGAGGTAAAAACAATGGAATCAGTCCAAACAAAAATCTGTCTCTCTCCCCACACTATGTGGTGGAAGCCATTGTTTATTCAGTCACTTAATTTGATTTGCTTAGGCAAAAGCTCCAGGTACCCATAACAACTTAATCTTAAAAACACATACCAAAAAAAAGTCAACTCAGTGACAATCCACAACTGAACCCCTTAAACCACTCCCTCTTTGAGGCAAAACCTGAGCTCTGGTTCCACCTGTACACAGTGTACCAGCACCTTCCTCGAGCTACAATCTTGTCTGCCAGAACTTCAGTTTTTATTCTGGAGCAAAGAGTGAGCTTCTAGCTGTTATGGTTATGAAGAAATCCCACCTCCCAAATGTGAACTGAGTGTAATCGATGCAGAGATGTCAGAGAGCCTGGAACAATAATGCTGGCTGGGAGGTGTGAACTGCCCTATTCATCACAGTGAGATGAACTCAGATGCTCATTGATGACAACCTAAATATCAACATTGTTAAATATTTAATTTCTCATATCAGAAAAGAGAGGAAGATCGCAAAACTGTACAACACACTGAGCAATGGCTCATTTGGGGAAGCAGTGGGGAGATACAATCACATACTTTTTCACCAGTCAGGAAGGAGCCCAGCCCAAGACGTCTACTGGGCATATTCAAGCCCCACCAATGGTGAGCCATGCTCAGAAGGTTCATGTGATCTACTTGGAGCAGCATCTCATTCATTTTGTTGACTCAGGTGGAGGTTATTCTGTAGGAGAAGCTTGGAAGCGCACGCTCACCTTTTTTATTTCCCTCAATTTTAGTTTTGAACAAAATAGATAACAGACCCAATATGACCTGAAGGTTGACAAATATGGCCTTTGTCAGAACAAAGGAAGGACTTAGTTCCAGAGTTGAGGTCTTCCACTGAGATTGCTTTTCCCTGAACTCCTTTAAGGAACTGTCAGCTCAAGCATCGCAGCAGATTGTAGCTGCCAGGATAAAAGCACAAGGGGAGAGCTGGTCTTTAAAACACAAACCAGTGAGGGACTAAACTGGGCTGCTTACTGCATCACTACTGTATTTCCCATATGTAGAATGGAAAACAACATAAACTGCATGGCGAAAGCAAGTACCGGGATGGTGTTTTTATAGAGGACAATGTATATGTAATGTAAATGGTATTTCATAAAGCAGACCTAAAGTATGTAATATTTTCAAAGTACAGAATCTGATTATTTGATCTCATTGAAATAGTGGCCCAGAAACAAAGCATCTGTTAGCCCACAAGCTCTGGATGATAGAAGATCTCTCTTGTATTCTAGACTTCTAATGTGGTATTGAGCTCCCATAGTGAGAATGTCCTGGGAAAAAATGTATGTGATCTGCATCCAGATGATTCCCTGGCTGGTGAAATAGTCTCACAGGGCTGTGGGTGGCTGGGTACTAGGTAGAATAGCCTTGCAGCTTCTCTGTCTTATGCCAGCGAATAACCCAGTCTTCAGTGGCCCTGGGAATGGGGGAATGTAAAACTGGCTCTAGGCCACATTTTCCCTATGGTCCTGTGCCAAGCAAAGTTCAGCTGGACTAGAGAATTTGATCCAAATACACAATAGTTCTTCAGCTGCCAACTGTCTGTATATACAGCTTTTAATTAGAGATAAGCCCAAATCAAAACCATAAATTGTCAAACACTAACTTTGTGACTTGGGTCAATCTCTACTTTTCATTACCATTTAATAACTGACTTGCTGGTCCCCCAAAGGCCTGAAGATCAGAACACATTGCTGGCCACAAACCTGCAGGCCTAGCTCAGGCTAAACTCCCATTGACTCTACTGGGAGTTTTGCCTAGTTAAAGGCTAAAGGCATGGAACTGATCCAAAGCCCTTTGACATCAATGGAAGGTCTCCTAATGACTTCCATTAATTTTTGATCATGACCACATTTCTGGCATGCCAAACTCTCATAGCTACTCCTAGAAAAGTGACAATGGAGCCTGACACACCACAAAATCATCATCAGAGTATTCAGGAAAAAAAATTCTGCCAAATTATTGATATATGTCATCCATTCCCAAATGAAGATAAATCAATAGAAAATTAGAAAAGAAACTTTAAAGACAAAAATAGAATGTACCCTACTTACATTTAATAAGAAGTCTTCTGCACTTTCAGTAGTGTAGAAGCCCTTTTAATGACTTCCACACTTGAATTATCATTCTTTTCATTCATGAAGGTAGACAACACATTAGCTCTAACCTATTATGTGTTCTCTATCACACAGTAGCTGGGTACCCAAAGGATTTGTAATACAAAGTCTCAAAGGAAGCACTGTAATGCACCACTGGTTTGTCAATTTAGAAAAACCTTTAAAAAATGGACTTGGGGGGGTGGGGGGAGATACAGTCATTGGGCTGACTGTTTATATTGTAGCAGCCACTAGGAAGCAAATGCTGTACTTAAGATGGCTAAGTTGTTTTCATTAGAACCTAAACATCCTACCTGGGTCTACCAGTGAAGGTCACTTGCAAGCTTTATCTAATTCAACATATGATGAGCTACCTGCCTAGCTATGGTAACTACAGAGAGCTTATTACACCAGTTCTTCATGAGTTGCCCTGGACTCCTATTCACTTGAGGGTGTACTTGTAAGGGGCTGCTGATTTGGGTCTAAAGTGCAGAGGGCTTGGTTATTTGAGAGACCACTGTTGTTGCTCTAATCAGCTGCAAAATTAGAGTGGAAAGAATGCTGGAATTTTTTCCCCTGAATATGTGTTCAGATTCAAAGATGAATCAATTTAAATTTTTCTGTGTTCATGATCTGTTCATGTTCTCTTGATTTCTGCTAACGATCTTATTCCTATAAACTCATATTAAGCAAAAATATACACCAACATTGATTAGTGGTATTTTCATTGTAATATTTATAATTCATTCTGTGCTGTTTTCTGACCTGAGTCAGGAACAGAAATAATGTGACCGGGATAATTAACCAGTGGGGTGAAAATGGTAAAGTTCTAATTAGAGCTGTCAATTAATCGCAGTTAACTCATGAAATTAATAAAAAAATAATTGCGATTAAAAAAATTAATCGTGATTAATCGAAGTATTAATCGCACTGTTAAACAATAGAATACCAATTGAAATGTATTAAATATTTTGGATGTTTTTCTATATTTTCAAATATATTCATTTCAATTAAAACACAGAATACAGAATACACTGCTCACTTTATATTATTTTTGATCACAAATGTTTGCACTGTAATGATAAACAAAATAGTATTTTTCAGTTTACCTCATACAAGTACTGTAGTGTAATCTCTATTGTGAAAATGCAACTTACAAATGTAGATTTTTTTTGTTACATAACTGCACTCAAAAACAAAACAATGTAAAACTTTAGAGCCTACAAATCCACTCAGTTCTACTTCTTGTTCAGACAATGGCTAAGACAAACAAGTTTGTTTACATTTACAGGAGATAATGCTGCCCATTTCTTATTTACAATGTCACCAGAAAGTCAGAACAAAGGCATTCGCATGGGACTTTTGTAGCTGGCATTCCAAGGTATTTACATGCCGGATATGCTAAACATTCGTATGCCCCTTCATGCTTTGGCCACCATTCCAGAGGACATGCTTCCATGCTGATGATGCTCATTAAAAAAAATAATGTGTGAATTAAATTTGTGACTGAACTCCTTTGAAGAGAATTGTATGTCTCCGGCCCTGTTTTACCTGCATTCTGCCATATATTTCATGTCATAATAGTCTCGGATGATAACTCAGCACATGTTGTTCACTTTAAGAACACTTTCACTGCAGTTTTGACAAAACACAAAGAAGGTACCAATGTGAGATTTCTAAAGATAGCTACAGCACTCGACCCAAGGTTTAAGAATCTGAAGTGCCTTCCAAAATCTAAGAAGGATGAAGTGTAGAGTATGCTTTCAGAAGTCTTAAAAGAGCAACACTCCAATGCAGAAATTACAGAACCCGAACCACTAAAAAAGAAAATCAGTCTTCTGCTGGTAGCATCTGACTCGGATTATGAAAATGAACATACGTCGGCCTGCACTGTTTTGGACTGTTGTCGAGCAAAGCCTGTCATCAGCATCGACACACGTACTCTGGAATGGTGGATGAAGCATGAGGGACATATGAATCTTAAGTGCATCTGGCACGTAAATACCTTGCAATGCCAGCTGCAACAATGCCAGTTCTCACTATCAGGTGACATGGTGAACAAGAAGCAGGGAGCATTATCTTCCATAAATGTAAACAAACTTGTTTGAGCGATTGGCTGAACAAGAAGTAGGATTGAGTGGACTTGTAGGCCCTAAAGTTTGACAATGTTTTATTTTTGAGTGCAGTTATTTTTTGTACATAAATCTACATTTGTAAATTCAATTTTCATGGTAAAGAGATTGCGCTACAGTATTTGTATTAGATGAATTGAAAAATACTATTTCTTTTGTTTTTTACAGTGCAAATATTTGTAATAAAAATAAATATAAAGTGAGCACTGTACACTTTGTATACTGTATTGTAACTGAAATCTATATATTTGAAAATGTAGAAAACATCCAAAAATATTTAAAATGGTATTTTATTATTAACAGTGAGATTAATCGCGATTAATATTTTTAATCACATGATTAATCATGATTAATTTTTTTAATCACTTGACAGTCCTAATTCTAATACTTGCAACAAATAGTTTATGAGCTATTTGAAGAGCAAAAACAAAATTGTGACTAATTTAGAATTATGAATAAATTCAAAACTTCTGTGATCTTCTCACAAACAGAAAAAGAGGTGAACTTCAGCACATTAATTATTCCTTGTGATATATTTAGCTTAGCTCTTTTAAGATATAAACATCAAAAGGCTACAGATGGGGCATTCTCAGTAGAGGAGACTTAATTCAGACATTTTAAGGCCAAGGAACTATTGTGAAAATCTAGTCTGGAAATCATGTCTCCAACTGGTCTAAGAGTATGAGATTGGTT